AGCCTCAGCTCGCTCCTTTAGAAGCCACGCCCCATCGCGTTTTGCCTTCATGATTAAGCTCTGGGGTGGGACGAAACACATTGGGGACATGGCTTCTGATGGAGCGAGCTAAGGCTGCTTTTACGTAAAATGTATGCAGCTGTGGGAATACCCTTCTATCTCCATAGTGTATCCTGACTCTAGATGGTCTCACTCCAAGCTTGTGCCCATCTAGTGGCTTCCACCTCACTGGACGTTGGACGCCTGACCAGAAATACCCTTCTATCCTCATAACCATTTGCATTGGTCACATGATGATGAAGTCCATCTTGCCCCCTTGCTTAAAGACCCATTTAAGAAGAGAGTGGAAAAGGAAATACAGATCCCTTGGTGGCTCCCACTCCCGTTCCTCTGAGGTGGAATGATGCTGTTCCTTCGAGGTGGAATAATGCTTTTACATGATGTTACAAAGAGAACTGGAAGTAATATATAACTTGAAACATTGTTACCAGCAGTTGCCATTAGAACTTTCAGCATAGTGTGAAATGTAAACTCCCCTGATAGCACCTGGCTGATGAGCAGCGGAACTCATTGATAGTCTGTCGAGGGCCCAAGCTGCGCGTTTCAATTAAACTTTGCTGCTGGGTATTTTCAATACAGATCAATAACAACAAACAGCGTGTCCGCCGTCTCTGTATTCTGCGTAATAAGCGAATAATGTAGAGACAAAAATCCAATTCTGTGACTCCTTGATGCATTTTATTATCACACTGGCATCCCAGGCCATCCTCTAATTGCCTGTATGGATGTAGAAGGCTAGACCCTGTAATGGCTTCGCCCTCGAACGCACAGCGCTGAAAATAAATATTGCGAACACTTGCTTGTCTGTCCTTCACTATCGCAATTTTTGTTACAGTTCAACATTACCCTGAAAATAACCCGAGAGAAGTACGAAGGTCACAGATTGTGACCTTTTGTTTGGAAATCTAAGTCAGTGGCTGCACTAGTTTGAGTCACAAACCCAATATATGTATCCTGATTGGGAATTCCCACTGGTGTCACTGGCTTCTTCTTCCTTTTCATCTTCTTTAATCTTCAGCTGGCGATTGGGGAACGCGTCATCCTTTCAGCCAGTGGTGGTCAACTTTCCTGATGTGGGGGGGGGGGGCCTCAAGTATGGCCCCCGACATCACCAAATGGCCACACTTAACATATTAGGTGAATATTCAGTCTCAGTGACAGCAGATACATGATAGGATATAGTCAAAGACCATGGGCGTGACACAAAACTTAGTCAAAGACTGTGGACATGATAAAAGAGATGGTCAGACACTGCAGACATGATACAGGAGATGGTCAGGGACTGCAGACATGATACAAGAGATGGTCAGGGACTGCAGACATGACACAGGAGATGGTCAGAGAATGCAGACATGATACAGGAGATGGTCAGAGACTGCAGACACGGTACAGGAGATGGTCAGGGACTGCAGACATGATACAGGAGATGGTCAGGGACTGCAGACATGATACAGGAGATGGTCAGAGACTGCGAACATGGCACAGGCGATGGTCAGAGACTGCAGACACGGTACAGGAGATGGTCAGAGAATGCAGACACGATACAGGAGATGGTCAGAGACTGCAGACAAGATACAGGAGATGGTCAGAGACTGCAGACAAGATACAGGAGATGGTCAGAGACTGCAGACAAGGTACAGGAGATGGTCAGAGACTGCAGACACAGTACAGGAGATGTCAGAGACTGCAGACATGATACAGGAGATGGTCAGGGACTGCAAACATAGTATAGGAGATGGTCAGAGACTGTGGATGTGATACAAGAGATGGTCAGGGACTGCAGACAAAATACAAGAGATGATCAGAGACTGGAGACATGATAAAGGAGATGGTCAGAGACTGCAGACATGATACAAGAGATGACCAGAGACTGCAGACATGATATAAGAGATAGTCAGAGACTGTGGATATGATAGGGGAGATGGTCAGGGACTGTGGACAGGATACAAGCGATAGTAAAAAAAGTTGAAATTGAAGCTCCACACCACTGTTAAGAGATCCAGATACAACTTTATTCCAGTAAAGGTCAGGGGTATAAGATTTTCATTTCAATCTGACATCAATATAATCCCCTCAAAGGAGTCATAATTAAAACCGAACAGTCAATCATAATGAGAATATCAAACAAAATTACATAAAAATTAGATCATGAGTGCTGAACAAAAATGAGAATAATCATCATTATTATTAAAATGGTATATTGTGGTTGATACGAACGTGTATGTGTATAATATGAACTATATATTAAAAAATCTGTTTGTACAATCATGAGAAATATAAGATAAAAAAAAATACAAAAAGTTCAAAAAGTAAATAAATATTAGATAAATTATATATATATAGTAGTAGTATAATAAAAATGATAATATTATTAAAGATAATAATGATGATAGTACTACTGATAGTACTACTGATGATAGTACTACTATCATAATCACTATATACATTCTTGGCAATAAATTGATCTAAAAGGAATAGATGTATGAAAACATAAGTGAAATGATAAATATACAATTTGAACCATAATCCCCTCTCCACCAAACTTTACACTTGGCACAATGCAGTCAGGCAAGTACCGTTCTCCTGGCAACCGCCAAACCCATACACGTCCATCGGATTGCCAGACTGAGAAGCGTGATTGGTCACTCCAGAGAACACGCCTCCACTGCTGTAGAGTCCAGTGGCGGCATGCTTTACACCACGGCATCCGACGTTTGCATTGCACTTGGTGATGTAAGCTGCTCGGCCATGGAAACCCATTCCATGAAGCTCTCTACGCACTGTTGTTGGGCTCATCTGAAGGCCACACCAAGTCTGGAGGTCTTTAGCTATTGACTCTGCAGACAGTTGGCGACTTCTGTGTGCTTCAGCATGCGCCAACCCCGCTCTGTCATGTGACGTGGACTAACACTTGGTGGCTGAGTCGCTGTTGTTCCCAGTTGCTTCCACTTTGTTATAATCCCACTAACAGTTGAGCGTGGAATATTTAGTAGCCAGGAAATGTCACGGATGGACTTATTGCACAGGTGACCACCTATCACGGTACCACACTTGGAGTCACTGAGCTCCTGAGAGCGACCCATTCTTTCACCAATGTTTGTAGAAGCAGTCTGCATGCCTGGGTAATGATTTTATTCACCTGTGTCCATGGAGGGGATTGGAACACCTGAATCACATGATTTGGAGGGCGGGGACAATACGTTTGGCAATATAGTGTATGCTACGGGAGATGATTAGAGATTGTGGACATTTTTCAGGAGACTCTCAGAAGCTGTGAACATGGTATAGGAGTTATTGGAGGCGTGCTTCAAGACAGTCATAGACTAAAAACAAATTACATGCGACTGTTAGAGATTACTGCTATAACAGGGCAATAAAGAAACACAGATTAGTGTCTGTAGGGGCACCAAGGGACACATGCATTTTTTGGGCACCAGGGGACTCAACCAATACTCTCCTAGACGTGCCATTGAATTCTGTGTGTGGTTCATAATACGGTTTCACTCTTGGCGATCAGTGGTGATATTTCTGGCCACATTGATGGTCACTGCTTCCTTGACTTCTTCCACAATGTGTTTGAGGTCTTTGGTGCTGCTCTCCAGTGGACAGGTTGCTCTCACCAGACTAATTTATAAGGCAACTAGCTTGTGTTCATTTTGCAAGCATAGCAAAACCATAGCAGTCTGTGTTTTTTAATTTGTTCTTCGACTGAAGGTTGATGGTCTCAGCTTGTCCACATTGTCTCATTCTGATGGCAATCACAAAGAGAGACACCCAAGATTTGTCTCAGGCATCACATTTGGAAAACCTCACTTTATTACTGTCAGGTTTAAGCTGAGATCGCTCTTCTGATATGTACAAGAGAACTGGTAGGGTTGGAAGAGAAACATTTTGATCTTGGCGGAGATGTTAGCCTTCTTCCGAAGCCCCATTTGAGCAAGGTGAACTGTTGCCTGGCTAATCCAGCTGTGGACTTCAGTGGTAGATGCCACCTTTTTCTCCAACACCAACAATCCCAGGTATTCAAATTCTTGGATCTGCTCAATTTGGCTAACATTAATGTGAACATTGGCCTGTGATTCATCCATAGTCATCACTTTGGTCTTATCTGCCGATTATTAGATTGGGCGACATGGGCACTGTGGTAAAGGATATTGTCTATCTTTGCACATGTGTCAGCAAATATGGCACTGTCATCTGCAAACACCAAGTCAATCAGGAAAATGTTCACTTTGTACTGGACCCAGCTTCTCTCCTTCAATTCTTTCCTCATAATGGCATCAATCATGATATTGAAAAGGAGGGGTGAAACGTCAAACCCCAGTTTGAATAGGGAAATTCTTGGATAGTTCATTTTGGATCAGCATGCTGCTGGTTGAACCATTGTATGATACCTGAAGAACATGGATGGTTTCAGCAACACGTACTGCACTAGTTAGTGACTACAAAAGTATTCAAGCAAGAGACAGCCAGGCAAGAGGCATTACAGAAATAAGTTGTATTCTATCTGTCACACTCCATATAGGTTTGCCCACAGTTCTTGTAGGGCTCTATAGTCAATTGGAGTGGTACCACCATGAAGCCATAGGAAAATAATGATCTTCACCAGCACACCTTTAATGATTACTTATACCAAGATATGTTGGTGAAGATCCTTATCATTTTCAGAAGGAAGTTCACAATTCTCTCAATACAGGTTTTCTTTTAAGGTGTATATAAACCCAAAAACAACATGAAATACATTGCAGCTTAGCAGTCCTTAGATGTGATAGCTGCATGAAGTTTCATTCTTTTACTCTTTTTACCTTTAGTTTAACCTGGCAATCCTCCAAATAACTAACTTTCAGTCCCTTTGTGGTTACACTTATTTCTCCACTGTATCTATGGAGGGAGCTATGACTGCCACACAAGCTGGACTTCAAACATGTCTGCCGTTGTTCATCTCTATTACATGGTGGATTGATTGATGGGACCAGAAATTTACACAATAAGGTCTCCAAGGAAATGGTAGTCACTGAGAATACTACTTACATTGGGGGTCAGTGGGAAGAATGTCCCTTACACTGGGGGTCAGTGGAAAAAATGTCCCTTACATTGGGGGTCAGTGGAAAAAATGTCCCTTACATTGGTGACCAGTGGGAAGAATGCTTCTTACTTTGGTGGTCAGTGGGAAGAATGCTCTTTATATTGTTGGTCGGTGAGAAGAATGCTCCTTATATTGGGGTTCAGTGGGAAGAATGCTCCTTACATTAGTGGTCAGTGGGAAGAATGTCCTTTACATTGGTGGTCAGTTGGAAGATTGTCCTTTTCATTGGTGGTCAGTGGGAAGAATGTCCCTTACATTGGCTGTCCGTGGGAAGAATGATCCTTACATTGGTGGTCAGTGGGAAGAATGATCCTTACATTGGTGGTCAGTGTTAAGAATGTCCCTTACATTGGTGATCAGTGGGAAGAATGTCCCTTACATTGGTGGTCAGTGGGAAGAATGATCCTTACATTGGTGGTCAGTGGGAAGAATGTCCCTTACATTGGGATCAGTGGGAAGAATGCCCCTTACATTGGTGATCAGTGGGAAGAATGTCCCTTACATTGGTGATCAGTGGGAGGAATGTCCCTTACATTGGGGGTCATTGGGAAGAATGTCCCTTACATTGGTGGTCAGTGGGAAGAATGTCCCTTACATTGGGGGTCAGTGGGAAGAATGTCCCTTACATTGGTGGTCAGTGGAAAGAATGTCCCTTACATTGGTAATCAGTGGGAAGAATGTTCCTCACATTGGTGGTCAATTGGAAAAATTCTCCTTTCCAATTTTGTCGATCAGTGACATATATTGGTGGTCGGTGGGAATAATTCTTACATTGGTAGTGAGTCGTTAGAATATACCTATTACAGAAATCTAAAAAGATTATTGGAATCAGAGGTAACTTATCTGAAAGGCAAATATTGCTCAAGGAACCCCTAACAACCCTCTGTGGAGGAACCCTGATTGAGAAAGGCTGCTCTGGGCTTTGACACCAGCCAGTGGACAGAACAAGAGTGGGGTGAGTTAAAAGTGGTCGGGGGCAGGTTAACACAGGCCGTGCCACTTAGCCCTGAATGAACAAGGTGACGATGAGGTTGGATAGAGTAACAAGTCAGTTAGAGAGAACCTTTAAGGAATCATTCGATCTCTTTGATATTCCATATTTGTAATGTGCCCCGGGTCATCGATCAGCATTTCAAGTGCAAGCATCCTATTTGATGAATTCTGATACCCCCTCGCTGTCATGAATGAGGATCCCCTGACCGTGGCGTCTCCTACGTGGCCAGCTTTGATGTGAAAATCAATACTATGCCCATGTTTTAATACGGTTAATGCATTCGGCGGATTCCTGAAGCATCAGAGGGTCGGTGTGGCGCACAATCCTTTTATCCCCAGATAAAACGCCGCCACCTGCGAGGTCACACACACACTTGCGGCAATGAGAGCGTCTCTGCAGTGAGAGCCAAAGGGGATTATGGGAAATTTGTGCAGTAGTTAGTGGTTAGGTCTATGATTAGACGGCACCCTTGTATCGGGGATGATTAAAGCTCCTCTGAATTGACAGACGGGGGCCAAATTCCTTTATAAACGGATACAATTCCTCCGGTGATTGGCAGGCGGCAAGACAGATGTTCGGAAAAAATGAAAAAACGCTGTTTAGGATAAAAGGTATCTCATCGTGGTTTATGTCAGCGGGGAATTTCTTCATCTCTAATGGGCACTCCAAACAAACATTACCATTTGCTACTTTAACCTCGAAGGGTTCCATTAACACTTTTGCGTAGCGGGAAAAAGTGCTCCAGCTCGCGATTTTGTTGAGCTACTTCCATGCAATTTTGCGTGTCGCATAGGACCGTCCCATTCACTTGAATGGGCTGCCCTAGGCACCTTTGTTTCCCCAAAAAAGAAGTCTGATCGGAGACTGATCCATTATGCTCCCCAATCCGCAGATCCTATCCATCCTACGGGGATCGTCGGCATACAACCTATACGGGGTGACACCGGACCCGCTCTGCAAAAAGGTAAGTTGTAAAGCAAGCCAACGATCCCCGGAGGTTGCATCGGATCTGCAGATTGGGGAGCATAATGGATCAGACTCCGATCCATTATGCTCAATCCGCAGATCCGATCCATTCTGCGGGGATCGTCGGAGCGGGTGACACCAAACCTAGGGACACCCCTGGGCAGACTCACTTCTGGGAGATACTGTAGATACAACTTACCTTTTTCGTGGAGCGGGTCCGGTGTCACCCCGTGTGGTAGGTGTCACCCCCCGCACCTGCCTAGGGACACCACTCACATTTTTGTAAATATTTGATTCTATCTTTTCATGTGACAACACTGAAGAAATGACACTTTGCTACAATGTGACGTAGTCAGTGTACAGCTTGTATAACAGTGTAAACTTGCTGTCAACTTCTTTGGTCCACCATGGCAAGGCCTGTTCTGAGGAGTGGAAGAGGACACACAAAATATTGACACTTTGGGCTCAATTTGGACCTTGTCACTTAGGGGTAGAGACTCACTTTTGTTGCCAGCGGTTTAGACATTAATGGCGGTGGGTTGAGTGATTTTGAGGGGACAGCAAATTTACATGTTATACAAGCTGTACACTGACTACGTCACATTGTAGCAAAGTGTAATTTCTTCAGTGTTGTCACATGAAAAGATAGAATCAAATATTTACAAACATGTGAGGGGTGGACTCACTTCTGGGAGATACTCTATATATACTTTATATACACGGCTCAAAAAAGTGAAAGGAAGACTTTGAAAACCCATCAGATCTCAATGGGGAGGAATCTCTTGCTGGATCTGTATACTGACATGGACAGGGTGATGTGTTAGGAAGGTAAGGACGCCCCATCGTTTGATGGAAATGATCGACCTACAGAGGACTGAATTCAAAGACACCCTGAAAATCAAAGTGAAAAAAAATGATGTAGCAGGTGAGTCCATTTGGCTGAAATGTCATGGCAGCAACTCAGAATGGTCCTCAGTAGGTCTGTATGGCCCCCCCCCCCCCCCCGCTTGTATGCATGCCTGACAACATCGGGGGAGGCTCCTAATGAGACCACGGATGGTGTCCTGGGGGATTTCCTCCCAGATCTGGACCAGGGCATCACTGAGATCCTGGACAGTCTGAGGTGCAACTTGATGGTGTCGGATGGACCGAAACATGACATCCCAGAGGTGTTCTATTGAATTTAGGTCAGGTGAGTGTGGGGGGCCATTCAATGGTATCAATTCCTTCATCCTCCAGGAACTGCCTGCATACTCTCACCACATGAGGCCGGGCATTGTCATGCACCAGGAAGAACCCACTGCACCAGGAGGAACCCAGGACCCCCTGCACCAGGAGGAACCCAGGACCCACTGCACCAGCATAGGGTCTGACAATGGGTACAAGGATTTCATCCCGATACTGGATGGCAGTCAGTGTGCCATTGTCTAGCCTGTAGAGGTCTGTGCGTCCCTCCATGGAGATGCCTCCCTAGACCATCACTGACCCACCACCAAAACGGTCATGTTGAATGATGTTACAGGCAGCAGAACGTTCTCCACAGCTTCTCCAGACCCTTTCATGTCTATCACATGTGCTCAGGTGAACCTGCTCTCATCTGTGAAAAGCACAGGGGGCCAGTGGTGGACCTTCCAATTCTGGTGTTCAATGGCAAATGCCAATCGAGCTCTATGGTGCTGGGCAGTGAGCAAAGGGCCCACTAGAGGACGTGGGGCCCTCAGGCCACCCTCATGGAGTCTATTTTTGATGGTTTGGGCAGAGACATTCACACCAGTGTCCTGCTGGAGGTCATTCTGTAGGGCTCTGGCAGTGCTCATCCTGTTCCTCCTTGCACAAAGGAGCAGATACCAGTCCTGCTGATGGGTTAAGGACCTTCTACGGCCCTGTCCAGCTCTCCTAGAGTAACTGCCTGTCTCCTGGAATCTCTCCTCCATGCTCTTGAGACTGTGCTGGGAGACACAGCACACCTTCTCTCAATAGCACGTATTGATGTGCCATCCTGGAGGAGTTGGACTGCCTGTGCAAGCTCTGTAGGGTCCAGGTATGGCCTCATGCTACCAGTAGTGACACTGACCCTAGCCAAATGCAAAACTAGCCAGAAAAGATGAGTAGGGAAAAAATGTCAGTGGCCTCCACCTGTAAAACCATTCCTGTTTTGGGGGTCATTTCATTGTTGCCCATCTAGTGCACCTGTTGTTAATTTCATGAACACCAAAGCAGCTGAAAACTGATTACCACCCCCTCTGCTACTTACCTGACCAGATCAATATCCCAGGAGTGTCATTGACTTGATGCTAGACTCTGATTACAAATCACACATATACACACACACATATATATATATATAATGTTTAGGGTAAGTAAGCCTAAGGTCTGATCTTCAAGTGGCTCCGAAAGCTCCTATACAATAGGAATATTGATCATTTAAAGGGAATTATTGAAGGCTATTTATAGTGCAGTCCAATGACACGCCGTGGGCTCCCAATTCCTGGAAAGACGTCCTTATGTTTGTGTCTGTATGGAATTAATTCCTGCTGACAACTAGATATCAAACGTTGTCTGGCTCCCCGTGTGTCAGTTAATTACGCTGTCCAATTTACTTTATTTATGTGTGAATTTGCCATCAAATGGAACCCAGATTGCGATTAAGTAAGCATCGCTCGCAGACAGATGCTCCGGGTTTGGAAGCATGGAGGGGGGAGGGGGGCACTATGGGAATTTCTGAATTAACTCTTTCATTGTCCAACATGAGGACCACTCAGGGGTGGACTGACCATTTAAGCACTTGGGCACTGCCCAAGGGCCTGGGGTCAGCAGGGGGCCCCATGAAATGCCCCTGTTACCTTTTTGTAGGCTTTTTTGGGTGTGCTTTGAGTGTGGGCAAGGACACAGGGGCCCATGATCCCCTATTGTCTGTGGGCCCCATGAGTTGTCAGTCCGCCCTGGAACCACTGTAAGCTTTCATTTACTGTTTGTGTCCCCACTGGGGGATTTTTCTTCATCTCCTGTTCCACAGACACTACAGGAATAGAAAAGGAAATCCCCCTCACACTGGAGGATTTCTACTCCCCTCCTGTTCTAGAAACAACTGTAAAATGTTTTGATTTCCTATTACTCTGGGGGTGTATTTATATATTATATATATAGTATATAGTAGTTCACTCAGTGAACGTACATGTGCATTTGTTCTGTAATGGGGCAAAAAAGACAAAAAACACAAAATGTGTTATTCAGGCTATGTTCTGTGCTGGTCGAATATTTTTTCATTGATTTAAAATGGAACACATACCACATTTGGCCACGTGATGTCGCTAAGTGTTTTACAGAAATTTCCTACGATATTTACAGCCATCTAATGGTCAAAATCTGTATTTTCTGTTTTAAACAATGTAATCGACCAGCACAGGAAACAGCCTAAATAACATTCTTTTTTTTTTTTTTGCCCCAGTCAGACAGAACAAAATGTACAGTGGGGCAAAAAA